GACTTAGACACAAGAACAACTTCTTAATATTTTAACACTTTATTTGAAAATATATCCAGTTAAATGAATGTCATTTAATCTTTATAAAAGTAAAAATTCAGTTCAGATGATGTTTTTTTCCATGCACTATGCTACTTTAACTTTATTGCCCTTGCTGTGCAGTAGCTCCCTAACCCTGGATGGCTCCACAGAGAGGAAGTTTTAGTCTTCCAGGACATACAGCTTTAGTTCAACTTCATTACCTTTATGGCACAGATGTTAGTCTTTGCTTTACATAATGGATCCTTTTCCCTGGAGCTTAATTTACAGAATAAATTCTCTGCTAATGAGAAATGTTTAAAATCTCCTGTGCTTGGAAGAAACGTCTCAGGTTTGTTTAAAAACAGAAGGCCCTAGCTACCTGAATTTAGAAATGGACACATTTTATTGAAATTTTTATTTTAAAATGTACTTTGCTTACCTGTATTCTAATGCAGGTTGCACATGAGAATGCTTCAACTTTACAATCGACAGGGGAAAGATACTTGATGTTTTATGGAGAGACAGTTGATGATAAATGAGAATCGATTCTACTGATAGCAAACATTTTCAGCACGAAAAGTTTCAGACTACAGAAATGTAAGAAAGCTTTTCGCCTTTGTCTCTCTCTGTTTTCCTGTCTCTGTTTTTATTTCTTTCTTTCTCTCTCTCTCTCTCTCTCTCTCTCTCTCTCTCTCTCTCTCTCTCTCTGTGTGTGTTTTACTCTTTTTTTTGTTTTTATCAACTTACTTCATGAATTCTATAGCTTCGGGCAATGGATGAGCTTCTTTTTGCCATAGGAAATGCAAATCAGGGTGCTGAACTTCTCTATAAACTACTCATGCAGTTAGATCTTGTGAACTTTGTTTGCTTGGAAACAGATAAGTATTTTGTGATCAATTTAATTTGAATTTATCACAAAATAACTTTAAGTTATCAGCAGAAAACATCACAAATGTGATTTTTAAGATTTTTCAATCTCATCAAGAAAAGTTTTCCAGGCCAGGCAATGTGGCACACATCTCTAAACCCAGCACTCAGGAGGCAGAGGCAAGCAGATGACTGTGAGTTCGAGGCCAGCCTGGTCTACAAGAGCTAGTTTCAGGACAGGCTCCAAAGAAACAGAGAAACCCTGTATTGGAAAAACCAAATAATAATGATAATAATAATATAATATAATAATAACATAAAACAATAAAAAGAAAACTTTTCTGATTTATTTTATATTTATTTTTCCATTCAAAAATTTTCACTCTTCCCCTCTTCCCCTTCCCCTCCCGCTCTCCCACTCACCCTCCTCCCTCCCCCTCCAGTCTTAAGAGAAGTCAGGGTGCCCTGTCCTGTGGGAAGTCCAAGGCCCTCCCTTCTATTCAGGCCTAGGAAGGTGTGCACCCAAACAGACTAGAATCTCAAAAAGCTAGTACATGCAGTAGGAACAAGTCCCAATACCATTATCAATGGCTTTTCAGTCATCCCCCATTGTCAGCCACATTCAGAAAGTTCAGTTTGATCACATGCTTGTTCAGTTTCAGTCCAGCTGGAGTTGGTGAGCTCCCAATAGATCAGTCACACAGTTTCAGTGGGTGGACCAACCCCTTGAGGTCCTGACTTTCTTTCTCATCTTCTCCCTCCTTCTGCACTTCAACTGGACCCTGGAAGCTCACTCTTGTGCTCTGATGCGGATCTCTGTCTCTATCTCCATCCATCGCCAGAGGAAGGATCTATGGTGATATTCGAGATATTCATCAGTGTTACCATGGGACAAGGCCAGTTCAGGCACCCTCTCCTCTGCTGCCCAAGAACCTAGCTGGGAACATCCCCATGGACACTTGGAATTCCCTCTGGAGCCAAGTCTCTTGCCAACCCTAAAATGGCTCCCTTAATTAAGATATCTTCTTCCCTGCTACTATATCGCCCTTCCTCCATTTCAACCCTCCCACTCCCCCAAGCTCTCCCCACTCCTCCCCTTCTCCTTCTCTCTCCCCCTCTCCTCTTCTCCCCACCCCACCCTTATCCCCATCCCCATGCTCCCAACTTTTGCCTGGCTTCCAATTTCCAGGAGGATCTAAATCTGTTTTTCTTTGGGTTCACTTTATTATTTGGCTTCTCTAGGCTTGTGAACTATAGGCTCAATGTCCTTTGTTTATGGCTAGAGTCCACTAATGAGTGAGTACATACCAAATTCATCTTTTTGAGTCTGGGTTACCTCCCTCAGGATAGTGTTTTCTATTTTCATCCATTTGCATGTAGAATTCAAGATGTCATTGTTTTTACCGCTGAGTAGTACTCTAATGTGTATATGTTCCACACTTCCTTTATTCATTCTTCCATTGAGGGACATCTAGGTTGTTTCCAGGTTCTGGCTATTACAATTACTGCTGCTATGAACATAGTTGAACAAGAGTGGTATTGCGGGTGTGGCTATACTATTATCTGACTTTTTAAATTTTGATTTTATTGAGCTATACATTTTTCTCTGTTCTCCTCTCTATCCCTCCCCTCCCCTTCTCCCCTCTCCCATGGTTCCTATGCCTCCAATTTATTCAAGAGATCTCTTTTTCTACCACTATATAGATTAGATACATGTATGTCTCTCTTAGGGTCCTCATTGTTGTTGAGGTTCTCTGGAACTATGAATTGTAGGCTGGTTTTCTTTGTTTTATGTCTAAAAGCCACTTATGAGCGAATACATATGATAGTTGTGTTTCTGGGCCTGGGTTACCTCACTCAATATACTTTCTAGATCCATCCATTTGCCTGAAAATCTCAAGATATCATTTTTTCTGCTGTGTAATACTCCATTGTGTAAATGTATCACATTTTCCTATTTATTTACATATTTAATGAATGTTTTAAAATTATTTTTGCTTTTGTTTGGGGGATTATAATTTAATTACATTTCTTCCTCTATATCATCTCATATACTTCTCCCAGCTCTCCTTCCATAGCCTCTATACTAATTATCATTACATACATATATGTATACACATTTATATTTCTAAGTATAACCTGTTCTGTCCATACAGAGTTACTTGTGTGCATGTTTTCCAGGCTAGTTGTTTAGCACCATGCAGCCAATTGATGAGCTCTTTCCTGGACAAGAGTACGTTTCCCACTCCAGCTTTAGTCAGTTTCTATAGTTAGGTCATTGAGTAGAGTTGAGGCCTGATGGGCTTTTCCTTGTTTGATTTAGCATGTTTGTTAGTGTCTTCCCTTCATTTCTTCCTTTCTTCCTTCCTTTGTTATTTAATTTTCATTTTATTTATTTTTTATTTTTTTTTACACAAGGCTTTTTCGGTGTAGCCCCAACTGTTCTGGAACTTGCTTTGTAGATCAAACTGGCCTGAAACCCACAAAGATTCACCTTCCCTGTCTCCCAAGTGCTGGATTAAAGGTATGTATCCAAACCAGGCTTCTCCCTCTCTATTTCTCTCGCAGTTGACAAAGAAATGAAGACAACATGACATTAATTGGTTTCTATTTCACTAAACTTAGTTTAAGACAGAAGAAAATGCCAGTCTTTTGGTTTTTGTTTGAATTTTCCTCAGTTTTCCTTGTATTACTGAAAAAAAAATATGCACGGCTCTCATTTTTTTTTTTTTAAATTTCAGAAAGTCAGAGAATAAAATAACCTCAACTGTGGGTTTGTGTTTTTACTGTCATAGGTTTTCACTCTTTTAAATCAGCCTCTTTCCCCTAAAACTTACTTAAGAAATCTAGAGAGGGGGCTGGAGAGTCATTAAGTCATTAAGAGCATTGCCTGCTCTTCCAAAGTAATGAGGTCTGGTGCCCTCTTCTGGCCTGCAGGCATACACACAGACAGAATATTGTATAGATAATAAATAAATATTAAAAAAAAGAAATCTGGAGAAGTTGCCATTTACTTCTTTCTTAATTTACATAATTATATTTTAGGACACAAATGTGTTATAATTATTTCACATTTATATGATATTATGTACATGTACATGTATATGTACATACATACCTACATTTATGTCCTTGCATGCTATAACTTTTTTATAGTTATTCATGTGTAAGATATAATTTGTAATGTACATGTTAATTTTTCAATGTTTATGTAATGATATACCATAATTTAACAACTCTTTCTTTTGACGGATTTTTTTGTATTTATAAATTAAAATATTAGTAAATGGATTTTTGATAATTTTAATATGATTTTACATTATAGAACACCGAGATTATAATCTTCAGAATAATTTAAATTTTAGATTTTATGTTTTGTTATAATGGTATTTTTAGTAATTCTTTTTATTCATTTTCCCAAAAAACATTTGTCTCATATGTCTGAGTCATTATAGAGTTTGATTGTAGCAAACCAAGTAGCTTTAATTGAAAACAAAATTATTTTCAATCTATTATTTACTTTTCTAAATTTTACAATTAATTTTTAATATTAAAATTTCATATTTTTCCAAGGGATTATTTTCAGATGAAGTTTTATAGTGCCACCAAGTATAATTTTACCTAATTTTGCTTCATATTTCATACTCTTGACTGAGCGAAAGTGGTAAACCTGTGCTCATGACACAGCCAAAGTGAACCACAGACAGCAGGGCCAGAGGTTTAATAAAGTTTTTTGTGGTTAGATAAGTCCCATGATGTGTCATATTATAGCACTGAATGTGTTTAGGCAAAATCATACCACCATCGTCAGATATCAGTTTATCTATATTTATGTGACCATCCATGGCTTATAATGACAGGTATGAAAGGGATTTGCTGAGAATTGTTTTTGTGTGAATATGAACTGCCCAATATTCTGAAATGTTAATTACTCTGTTTTGATTGTACTCTAAACATATATTCTTGACATTAATGCTCTGTTTTTTTCTGCAGTTAACATAAATCTCTCTTTTTTTTTCTCTCTTTCTTTCTTTCTTTCTTTCTTTCTTTCTTTCTTTCTTTCTTTCTTTCTTTCTTTCTTTCTTTCTTTCTTTCCCCAGAAGTAGCACAGGGTTTTTCCTAAGCTGGCATATGGCAGTCATGGATGAAGAAAACTGCACCTCTGTGGCAGAGTTTATTCTCCTTGGCTTTTCTGATGTCCCCGAGCTGGCATTCTTTCTGTTTCTGGTGTTTCTTCTCATTTATGGAGTGACAGTCATAGCAAATTTGGGCATGACTGTGCTGATTCAAGTCAGCTCTCAGCTTCACACTCCTATGTATTTTTTCCTCAGCCACCTGTCCTTTGTGGATTTCTGCTATTCCTCCATCATTGTGCCAAAGGTGTTCACTAACATCATTAACAGGGAAAAAGTTATTTCTTACCTGGAATGCATGGTGCAATTTTATTTATTTTGTGCTTTTGCTGTCACGGAGGTCTTTCTATTGGCTGTGATGGCCTATGACCGCTACGTGGCCATTTGTAACCCACTACTGTACATGGTGATCATGTCCCCAAAGCTCCGCATGGTGCTGGTGTCTGGCTGCTACCTCTATGCATCAGTTTGTTCTCTGATTCACCTCTGCTTAGCCCTTGACATCCCATCCTTTAAGTCAAATGTGATCAACCACTTCTTCTGTGATCTGCCTCCTCTCTTAAGTCTTGCTTGCTCAGATGTTACCAAGAATGAGTTATTCCTCTTCGTCATTGTCAACTTCAATGAGATTCTCACCATTGTAATCATCTTCATCTCCTATTTGTTAATTCTTGTTACCATCCTGAAGATGCGCTCTGCAGAGGGGAGACGCAAAGCCTTTTCTACCTGTGCCTCCCACCTCACGGTCATCATTGTCTTTCATGGAACAATCCTCTTTATTTATTGTCAGCCAAGCTCTGGCAATAGTGTAGATGTTGATAAAGTAACTACAGTTTTCTATACTGTGGTCATTCCCATGCTGAATCCCCTAATCTACAGTCTGAGGAATAAGGATGTGAAAGAAGCTCTCAGAAAAGTGTTAGGTTCTAAAAAGAATTCTCTCCTAGAATTTTTATTTCACAAAGTCTAAGGATCTATATTGAAGTCCCATGTATTGACAAATATTAATTGAATATGGAGCATAGAAAAAAATAACTATTACACAAGAATATTTATTAATGACTCTTAGCATTCATATATCTTTTTGAATCTCTATTTCCAAAAGTAGGAATGAGGGTTTATAATGGTTTTATTTATGATTGTTTTTTAATTTGTAGCTTTTTAAGCCATTATGAGTTATAATAAGATACAAGCACTATTTTTTAAAATATTGCAAACCGTTATTACAGCATAATTTAAGGAATATATGATTCATTTAAAAATGACTTCCTGATATTTTACACTGAATAACAAACTTTGTCAAGCAACTTATACACAAGTATCTGGACTTTATACACTAGCATGTATCATATATACATTAGGCCTTCTGGTATTTCCTATACTCTTTGATATTCATATTAACATTTATTTACAAGAATTCAAGAAATATTAATTGCCTGTTATAACTCAAGAAGGTTTGGATCCATTTTGGTTTATAGTCCTTTGTGTTATTTTGCCTTTGTGTTTCTCTGTATTGGGCTTTACAATCATTGACCTGTCTCATTAATGTCTGCATTTATGACTTATCACAGCCTTTTTCCTACTATATCTGGAATCTAGCGAGAGCCAAGCATAGACTTCACTTCTAAGAACATTTCTAGTCTCTGTTAGTTCTTTGTGCATGTAGTTGACCTTAATAAAATATTCCTTTGCCACTCTTTTACAACTACTTAATCAATGTTCCTTCAGGCAGACTTGATTCATGTTTCACTTCTACAGTCCAGGATAATTTATATTGATTTTCACATCATGTTTACTTGTTCAAGTAAAACATTTTTTAAAATAATTATTTTATTTTTTAAAAAGAAAATAAACTATCTTTTTTTCATTTTACATACCAATCCCAGTTCCCACTTCCTCCCCTCCTCCTATTCAGTCCACCTATGCCTCCCAAATCCTCCTCCACTCCTCAGAGAGGGTAACACACATTGCTTTTGGGAAGGTTCAAAGTCCTCCCTACTAAATGTAGGCTTAACAAGGTATCTATCCAAAGAGAATGGGTTCCCAAAAAGCCAGTACAAGCAGTAGGGATAAATCCTGGTGTTACTGTCGGTAGCTCTGCAGTCTTCTCCAGCCATACAACTGTCACCCACACTCAGAAGGTCTAGTTTGGTCTGATGTTGGTTCCTTCCCTCTTTGCTGGAGTTGGTGAACTCAGGTAAACTGCTTCAAAGAGTGTCCCCATCATGGTCTTAACCTCTTTACTGGAGAAACGGCTCAGTCATTGAAGCTAGGCTCACAATTAAAAATATAAAAACATCAATCCTATTATCTATAAAATGTTAGAATAAGGGTTAGACTATTTTTAAGAAAGCAAAAATTGGTGTTATGACCTTGACATTTAACTTCATAAGCAATATACTCCTTCAGTTCTTAATGTTCTCTGTGTTAGCATTGGTTACTTCTGTTATCCTCATGGTTCCTCAGGACAGGGAAACAACCTCCATTGAGAGGTTTTCAGGCTGCTTGAACCCTTGAAAATACTCTGCATCAAAACAATATGGACTCTCAAAACAACATAGGCTATTTTTGTTGCCTTGATTTGCCTCTCAGTGACTTAAGGCTTGTTTCAGAAGACACTGATGTAGCACGAGTTCTAATAGGGGAAAAGGCTGAGAGATCAGAGAGATGAAGAAGACAAACCATAGCCTCCTTACTGACTCAACGTCCCTGTTTCCTTCCACCTTATCACTTCCTCTCTCCCCCTAGCCATATCACTTCCAGTCTGTCTGCACAGACCTCCAGACTTCTATGTTTATCTAATGACCAGCTCTACCTTCAGATGTTCAGGCAAGCTTTATTTGTACAAACAAAATATCACTGCACACCTTGGACACAAGATCCAGAAGAATCTGGCTAGGTCTAACTGGAATAACAATATTTATGCTGGAAATCCTATCAATACACACACACACACACACACACACACACACACACACATATATTCTAGCCATATTTACCTACTTTTGGGAACTAGGAGAATAAAAATTATCTGATGTATTTATACTCTTATTACACTTATCAATAAATATGAAGAAATTTTTTTTAATACCTTTGGTACATATATAGTCAAATGACTAGTAGATTTGAGGTTAAGCACAATCACTTCCCTACTTTGGTGAATATAAAGCTCCAAAAAGAACAGAGATGTGGAAATTCAAAATAATGTTGTATTAAATAAAGTAAAAGTATATTGCATGAATATCCATTAATAAAAAATAATGCATAAGAATAGTTATTGATAATAGAGTGGCAGAAGACATGACCAAAGTTAAAACTCATAGGAAATAATTCCAATGATGCTGCAACTTTCCTTCACCTTTTCCATGAAACAGCAATTACATCATAAAACAATATTTAACTTTAATTACTTGTACTGAAGTCTCAAGAGAATAACAGAGCCAATTATTTCTTGAATATAAAGTTAAGTGTATCAGTAGTAGGCATAATAATAGAATTAACACCTCCCTCAAATAATCCTTCTTTTCAGAGGAAGGAGGGGGCTGCACTTACCAACAGCAGGTTTGTCTGCAGGCCTTAGAAAATATTGATGATATTTGACATGTGAGCTATTTAGCAAACAACATGTTTTTTTAGACTACTTTATATGAAAAATAATAGGATAATTTAAATAATTAGGAGAATTATTGAGCAACTAAATGCATTTACATCTGGACATACAGGAACCAGAAGATCCACTCTATTAAAAGTTTAATTGAAAGGACCTCATTTGGTTATATACATGTATTCGGAGAAATTTTCATGAACCATGAATGTTTTCAGAAATGTATAGCTCCTTATGTATGTGACAATTTGGAATAATTTATAATTCAGATAAACATTACAATTCATTTTAAAACTTCCTTAATATTTTTAAAACAGTGATAAAGTTTTCCTTGAAGAAATATATTTCAGAAATAACAGTTGATACTATTCTTGGCCTGAATGGACCATCCAAATTTTGTTTACCTTCATTTCAGTATTTGTCGTTAATGTTTAGTGTAGTTTTAGTTCACAGAATGATCCTATGCATCAAACAAAAATGCATACAACATAAGAAATATATTATATGCATGTGGCAGCATCCTAGAGAGTCAGACATTTATTCTTTGTGACAAATGAGATTGGAATATTAAATGATTTTTGTTTCCAGACTGTGGATTTAGGGAAACACATGGTAGATAGGAAAAGATGCTTTCATCTTTTCATGACCTCCAAACCCAGTAGTGTGTATGTATATACACACACGCTACATATATTTAATAATATATTATTAATAATTAATAATAAATTTAATAAATAAAAATTAATAATATATTTAATAATATATTATTAATAATCAATAAATAATACTGAATTACTACTTTCAATCAATGGATTATTATTTTTTCCTCTGTAACTAGTGACTACTCCCACTCTTTTTGTGGAAAGAATCAAGGACAGCTCCCCAGCACCTCATGTTCTACCAGTCTCACTCTTTGACCATGGGCTCTTCCCACTAAAAACCTTACTCCCCAATTCCACTTGCTTGTCTATTCAAGTCTTTACACACCCACATATTTAGAATTACAATTAAACTTCAACTCCTCATGACTCTTCTTCATGACCCTGAACCTGGACATGCTCTATTCTGTATACTTCTGAAAACTGGGAAATGACTCTAGAAGTTTTAAGACAAAGGAGAGGCCCCACATTTGCCCCTGTTTCCTACCTTTCAACACAGCTAGATATAGCATTTAGCACATGGTAATAAGGCTTATAGGCACTAGCAGCAGTTTTTCTACTGTTCCAGGAGGCTTCTAAGTTTACTTTTGGTCACCTTTTCTCTGTCCTTTCACCACACCAGCTCAGGGATCTCCTATTGTTGCAATTTTTTCTTTAAAAAAAGCAACATGAGAGAAAGACATCAAGTTCACATAGAGGGGTTATTTATTAGGGAGAATGGAATGGGTAAAAAAGGGAGGGGAGAGGAAGATTAGTCTCTGAGGAGACAGAAGGAGAAACAGAGAAGGGGGAGACAGAAAGATACTCAGAGAAGGAAAGAGAGAGAGAGAGAGAGAGAGAGAGAGAGAGAGAGAGAGAGAGAGAATGAATGTGGGCAGTGCCCCTTTAAAAGGTAATGTTGTGAGTGTACACAGGAAATGCTCCTAGTGGTTACAGTTGAGGACATATTTTATCAGAACCCCAAGGGCAGACCAGTGCAGATGTCTGCAAACTAACATTCCTCTTTTTCCTATTCATTATAAAATGATGAGGAGTTAGAAAGGGCTAGCAAGTGAGGTAGCCATGAGGATGCTATGTTCTCATGATTACTTCCTGCTTACCTGAGCGCAGGGTCATCATTCATCTTTGGGTGCCTGGGAAGCTGGGGTGATGTCCATGTCATGGAGTATCTGGTTGTTTCACTTCATTGTCCAGGCTCTGTGGAACCATCAGGTGCCACTTGGACTTGGCAAAATGCCAGTTGAGATGGATCCAAGTTGACTTCTTAGATCTTAAAGCACCTGATCCTTTCCCCATCACCACTTAATCATCTGGACAGGTTTGATGCCCCCTGTTTGTGCCTCCAGCTCTAAGACCAACAGCTGGTAGTCCTGTAACAATAACTGATTAGGGATAGCCAGTGGGTTTCCAAAAAGCATCTCAATAGGATTAAATGGGTATAAATGATAACGCAGTTCCCATGAATAAAGCAGAGAATTGAGACTCAAGGGTCTGAAACTCGTAGTATCCCAGAAATTCAAAGAGGGTCGATTTCAAGATGGCACAGGCTGCTTTGTGTTTGGTCAAACTTACAGAGCAGGGGCCAAGGGCTCTGAGTCTGAAAGAGACACAGTCATCTGCTATCAGGATTTTGAGAAAAACCAGAATGTAAGAAGACTGTGCTCAAGAAATCAAGCCTCACATCCAGGGAAATGGTCAAAGGGCAATAGCCCTGCCAGAGAACCAGTTGTCAGTATTGAATGGAAGGCGAAGCAGTCAGTCAACAA